TTCTAGCCAAACTCCCTTTGCTCTTGCAAAAGGTGTGAAGGCAAGCAATATGGTTTTAAGGAGCCAGAAACCTGTGCTTGTGTTCAGCTTTTTCAAGGAGCTGTCCTTGTTGGATCACGGTTTACTATTTTTGGTAAACGTGTTTCCTAGGCATGCTGATGAGCCAAGGTATACACTGTAGGGTGAAACAGTCTATATATTAAATTATATCATATGCTGAACATTGGCAGGTACGAAAATTATGTCATTTACGCATTTGTAGTTTAATAAAACAAAATATCTATACTTCCACAAAAATTGGACTATCATCCTGATATCAAATGACATCATGGCAAATGACGTCATCACCTTTTGCGTCATCGATGACGTCATAAAATTTTGACTAACGTGCGAAAAATCCTAGATCCGCCCCTGTTGATGCATAAAATGTTTTGTGCATTTTCTTCTTCGTTGCTCACAGACAATGGATCGTAGAACATCGCTGATCAATGTGGACCAGGCTTCATGTGTAAATACTAAGGTGACGTCAGTGTAAGATGCATGGGTAAATATAAGGATTTTGAGCATCTCACTTGATAGAATTAATTGTTGACGATATTGGTAGATTGTTATACATTTATTAGACCTAACCAGCAGGAGTTGCAAAAAATGCAACTATAGTCTCTCTGACAAGAATCGAACCTGCACAAACCCTTAACATTTGGCGACATTACCAACAACGCAAACTTAAAGCAAAAAATTGGTAGCCACTTCAATAGATATGATATCCATTATATGGTGCCTGTATTTTTATTGGGGAGAAGCTAAAAATTAATACAAACAAAAACAAATGTTTGGTAAAATTTCTTTGTTACACATTTTAGCACTTTGACTGTTCCACAAAAATTCCGAATAAATCAACCGACTAATAGGTCTTCCGAAGGTAGATACCAGACTCCGCCGCGTTTAAATTCAATATGGTCGCCAACGTGAGTTCTCAGGATTTAGACCGCTTTAGCTGCTAGTAATTATCGTTTCTGTTTTATCACTGGAGCAGACTTTCTTGATTAAATATAGCACAGTGGTCACCCAGTACAAAAAGTATCATAATGGTCAAAAGTAATATTGTAGAAACTTTAGACATATTGTTCCAGATGCCTGCCGGGGAGGTTAATATACTAATGCATTTTTTTTTCAAGGCTAAAAATAAATAGTGATGGCTCACAGTAGACTAAGTGATCCACAATATAGAAACTGGGTTACTGTTGGTCGAGCAATCCAGATTACCCGAAACGGCTTAGAAACCATAATTCAAAATGCTGCTGACAAATACCACACATCACTGCTTGCAACTTTGCCAAATAATGTACATGCGTGGGAATCTCGCTTGAAGAATGCCCATCGATCACATGATAAAAGAAAAATATCCTGGAGCAACAGTGACAACACTCAATGGCTGACCGTTGGCGCGTCATGGGAGATTGCTAAGATTTTCATGGCTCCCTTGGGACCGAGAAAGTTTGATGTAGTCAACGCCAAAACTACTGATATATCGGGACTGTTGAATGTATTAGAATGGTCTCCGAGAGGGACAAATGGTATGTTCAACACAGGTGTCGAACTTTCGAAAATAGCAGCTGCAAGAAGTGCTAGAAACGATTGGGCGCATGCACCGTTGCTGCATGTAAGTGATGCTGAAAAAATCGACGTGTTTGCATCTTTAACCTCGCTTCTTCAAGACCCAGAACTAAACGGTGACAAAGATGTCCAAGACGCCATGAAAGAGCTTAGTAGTTTATCCCACACTGGTCTAGCGGTGATCGAAGAGAAAGAATTCGAATTATTGGTTCAGTTGGAACGTCAACTTGGTCAAGATATGGTCAGTTTGGGAAGTGATATGAGCTGTTGGAAAGATGAAGTCGGAGCGAACTTTGAGCAGATTAAAGATCAGATGAAAGGCTTGGATGAATTTGTAAAGAAAAACGAACTAAAAGCTGTCGAGAAACGAATCAATCACTTGGACGATTCTACCAACAGCCGACTGAAAAAGCTAGAAGCTATGTCAGAGTCACAGCAATTATCTTGTGAGGTGAAGCAGGAGCTAAAGTTCAACCCAGTCTCTGATCGGATGAAGGAGGAATTTGTTGGTCGTGGGTGGTTGTTCTGTGACATTGAAAAATGGTTAGAAAAAGACCTCGAGCCTCGGGAATCTCGTGCCTTCCTTATCTGGGGTGGGGCTGGAACAGGCAAAAGCTCGTTCGCCCAAGAGTTTGTCCGTCGGCACGAGGGAGAAAAATTGGCTGGATACCATTACTGTCAAAAAGATAATCCTCGCACCTGCGATTTGAAATCGTTAGTCGATAGTCTCAGCACAATGCTCTCGAAGAGTCTTCCCGAATATGCTGCCTTGGTTGAGAAACTACAGACTGATCAATTTCGAGATAATCCTAACGCACTGTTCGATTTGTTAATTACTACGCCATTGCAGCAATTGAATGAAAATACCAGACATTTTCTTGTCATTGACGGCTTAGATGAAGGAGGTGCCATGATTGCTTCTTGCTTTGCCAGATTATCAGGAGCACTTCCTTCGTGGCTTCGCGTCATTTTGACTGCAAGACACAATTCTCCCGCTTTATCGGGCCTTTTTTTAAATTCCACCTCTGCTAAACTAGACCAATTTGAGACTAGTCTCGAGTCCCTGTCTAGCAAAGATATTCGTCAGTTTGTCTCCATGAAGTACAGAAAACTTCAAACTGAATTTAACTGTATTCCTTTTTTCTTTGCTAATGACGAGCAAGTAGGCCAAGAGAAAATAGTTCAGGCTAGTCAGAATTGCTTTCTTTATGCTAAACTTGTGATGGAACACATCTTTGATGGCCATAATGAAATTGGTTTGCCTGCCTCGTTATCTGAGATTTACTGCTTGGACTTTAGGCGTCACTTCTCGGATATAAAATTCTTTGAGAAAAAAGTTGCACCTGTGCTTCAGATTGTGCTTGCCATTCAATCTGCCAAGGCTTTTATGGATAGAGAGATTGGTATAAAAGGTGAGTTAGATTTTGCAACTTCCCATCCTTTTCTTGTTGTTGAAGGCGAAATAATTCGCTTACAGAAGATACAGCAGGCTTATGAGGAGAGCGATGAAAGTGTTACAGGGGTTGTGAAGTGTGGTTTGCTGCCAGAAATTAAGATGCATGATCTCAATAAAGTCCTCAAACTTCTATCAGGCTACTTAATAAAGGACGATTCTGGTAAATATTATTTCAGCCATAGTTCTGTAAGAGATGGTTGCAAGACGAAGAGTCAGATTTCTTTTGCGATGTACTCAACGGGCACTCCATTATGGCAAACTATAACTTGAAAACTCTTAAAGTTAAGTATCCTTCACCCGGCGATTTTTTTGAAAATGTATGTTTTCGTCCGAAACTGCCATATCCTACTGCTCATCTAGACCTCAAATTCTTTTCTTTGCGTTATCTCTTTCATTCCAGTGAGAGCGGGAGTTCAAACGTGAATGTTCTGATATCTGAATTAGGTATTAAAGCAATCGACCTTCTTCATGCCGCATTTCACCATAGTGGTGACGCTCGGGATTATTTCATTTGTTCCGAGTATATGGCAATGAAAGTTCTCGATGAAACTGATGTCTTGAATAAAATGACCATACAGGAAAAAGCTGAACATCTTGAGTGGGCTCTTTTGCTGCGTTCTGCAAGAATTACTGCCAAGTTGTTTGATAGCCACACATACTGGATTTTTAGTGGTATGGCCATCTTACGCTTGAACTTTCGTATCAAACTACTACAGCTCGTCCCAAAGGAATCAATGCCCCAGTTATTCTTTTCGTCCCTTCTCGTGTATAGGAAGGTCGTGGATGGTTTCGTTAACGATGAGATATTTGAATTTTGTGTAAAAAATGGATTAACGGCGGATGTATGTGTTCCTCAATTCTTTAAGAACACCAATGGCTTTGACTCGTCCATCTGCTGGAACGAAGATGTCCAAGAGTATTTTAGAAAATTGAAGTCAGGCGAAGAGAATGTTATCAGTTTGGAGTCCCTTAAAGAGAAGCCATTTTATCCAGAAGAAGCTAAAGTGTCGGAATTTACATTCGAGATCATTCAGAAACCTCTTTCAGGTATTGATTACAAATATTCTTGTAAATCTGTAGGTGTACAACGTCACAAAATTATTCTTTGATATAAAGTTCATTAAGCATATTCTTAAAAGTAGCTTTGGAAATAACCTAGATTGTTATGTGAAAGCAATACACCTCATCGTATAGGCTGTATTCTGTGACCAATGAAGTTGCTTAGAAAACGAGTTTTCTTGACTCCCTTCGGCCACTACTAACTTTAAAATTACATAAATTTATAGATTTTGATATGCCTGGCACGAATTTATTTATGAAAACCTGCAGTTTCTTTATATTTTATGATCAAACATCATCATTTTCTATTAAAATTAGCACTATTTTTTTTTAAACTTCATGTTATACACAGTTATTGTACTAGTTCAAAGGCGGGGCAGAGGGTATCACGCGGTTCATCTCGATATGAAATTGCAAAGATTCTTTATCAAGAATTGTACAGATTCTAAACTTGTCCTACAATTTTCGGGGGTTGCTGCCTTGCTCAAATTTTTTTATCAACAACGAACAAGGAGCGCACGATATTCGATAGATCTGCAGGACCCATGCAGATGAAACATGGCGATGTTTCGGAACTAAAGACATGATACTTTTTATGCGTGTTGGTGTGGATACACTCAGAGTAACATCACAAACATCATATTCACCTGAGTACATAACACCAACACACACAAAAAGTATGAGCGACAGTGGTGTATCGGATATAAAAACCCTCACAACAACACATCTTAATATGGTATTGCAAAATAATATATATAGTTCATTACGGAACTGTGATGTCATGAACACAGGATCAAATTTCCGGGAAGAAAAGGTCGCTCCTTCCGTGTTTGCTGTGTGGCGTTTAATTAATGTAAAAGCGGTCTTTGTTGAAATGTTTTATTAACAAAATCTCAACGTTCAACTCTTCAATACTCTGTGATTGCCATTTATTTCACCAAGAAAAGAAGAAATATGTAGAGGAACCTTAAAAGGTGGGTTTATAACTAGCTGTGATATTTTAGTGAGTAAATAGCGAACTTTTGTTATGACCATTTGGTAAATTTAAACTTGCGACTTGCGAGTGACTTTGCAATCGATTATTAATAACGACGTTGCAGCTTACTTCTCGCCTTAATGTGAAAATATATCGTTGATGTTATGAAGATTACTAGAAATGGACTAATTTCAGACAATTTGCTTTGTAACATGACAATACAAAGCCGTGATCAAGCGAGGATGAGAGTGCATGAGAGTTTGCAGTCACGCGACATTGCTGAGCTGTTCTTAATGTTTTCCCAACACTATCATGTGTTTTATTGAAGTTGAAACATTGTTGGAACATTCATCAAACCTTTATTTTGTTAATCTAGAGCTTCAAATGTCCCCTGTAACAATGCGTGACTGCCAACTCTCATCAACTATCGACGTTTGATCACAAACTTTCCTGCATGAACAGAACAAGTCATATACTATACGGCTGCGTAATTAAACTGTAATCCCCAATGGTCGGGGATGGAGGACCGCTTAAGAAACATTCAACGGCAACTAAAATAAATATATTACGCTAGACTCATTCGCAGATGACTCTCTTCGCTCTAATCAGTTCATATTATCGTTTTACTGTTTAACTAGTAGCTAAATCATAGGGATATTAAAATCCTAAAATTTCACATTGGCCGCCATATTGAATTTGCACGCGCCAGAGTCTGGGACTAGATTATATTTTTCATGAGGTTTGATGGAATAAACAACATGCATGCAATGTTACAAATGCATGTACTGTATCAAGGTCTTGGTTGTTTCCTCTGAAAGAAATTTCCGTATTTGTCAAATATTGTACGGACTGTGAAAGGCCTTGCTGCATACTTTCCCGATATTGAAAATCCGAATTTAATACATTCACCACAAAAAAAAACCCACAGTGTGGATTTCCTCCAAACATGCAGTTTATTTTCACAAACAAATAAAATAAGCATATATGGCATCACAATTACGCTGTTGTAGTGTTGTAATCACTATTAAATCAACGCCGGATCTAGCCTCATCTGCAAGGAGAAGTGCAGGTTTTCAGTGGGGAGGTGGATGAGGGAGCCTTACTGCCCACTCTCCTCTGCAGTCTCCAACTTATTTGAGATGGCCGAATCTGCCCGTTCGCCGTTCTGCTGCGTTTTACATTATCTTTTGTTGATAAAGTTTTTATCTGCTTTGTATCACGTGTGCGTGACTGGACAGTTGCTGTAGCACAGTACAGTAAATCTACTTGTTAAAGTACAGTATATTTGAAAATATGGCTGCATAACAACGTCGATATGTTTACATATTTAACCATGATATTTAACTAAAGCATTCTGAGTATTTTCTCGTGAGCTCACTGCTCACAAATCAATTAAATCGTTTCAAGAAATCGACACCCGCTAACAGCAAAAGTTCCACTTATCGCTATTTGAAAAGCAGAAAATGAATGGTGAAGCAGATTTATAGCTATTTTTTAGGGAGGTACTGGACTTCTCCAGGGGCATGCCAGACACCACTAGGTCGGGCGCGCACCCCCACGGTAGATCCGTCCCTGTATTAAATTACAAACACACTCAAATAATACAGTAAATACAATATAATCAGTTTAAATAAGTAGGCACTTTAGTTTGGTTGAAAATGATTTAAAGGAGACAGAATTTATGATTTCATTAGCATGTGAGGTAAAGAAATTCGGACCTTGATATCTTAACGAAAGCTCACAGTAAATGTAGGACGTAATTGAAATAATTTGAAAAGATTCTAGCTTGATAACTTTATGTACTTGGCTATTAACATGTACCGTAAACCAACTGTCAAGATTTTTAGATAACATAGATTTATGTTGGAAATTGCGTTACAACTTTGACCCTTTAAGATTGACTCTTGCAACATGGCCTTAATGAAGTGGACTGGGCCGGTTTCGTCCTTTATCCTCTACTGAGAAGATAATCTGATAATGATAAAGAGTTCTCGTAACTTCTTGTCTTTTTGTGAACTTTAATGTTAAGACCCGTTTACACTCTTGCAATTTTTTCTGGGATTTTAAGTGCGATTTTCTTCTTTTGATTGGATGTGAACGCCTGAATGAGTTATGAATGTTTAGATGAGGGTTCATATACTCAGAACATTCATAACTCATCTACTCATTCACATCCACCAGAAGAACATCGCACTAGAATTAGAAATCGCAGCAAAAATTGCAAGTATAAACTGGTCTTTATATTACTGCACAAATCTTATTTATCACTGCACAAATGGATATGGCATTTCTATGAATAAAATTCCAGAAATCAATTGAAGAATATATTTTGTGAAGGTAAATCCCAGTCGCCACTGCCATTAAATTCCATTTGGTGTGAAATCTCAGGATTTATTCGCTAGTTACTGTGTCTGTTTTTACCACTGGAGAACTCTCTCCAGATTATACATACATGGCTCAGTGATTGCCCAGGAACAGCTGCAAAAAATGCAACTATAGTCCCTCTGGCAGGAATCGAACCTGCGATACCGGTGCAGTGCTCTGACCAACTGAGCTACAGAGAGACAGTTGTTCAACAAAACGCCTGCTAAAGCGTTCACACTGGCCTGAAAATGACGACATACGTGCTATGGTGTAATAGACAAGGAATACAAATCGTGAACCGCTAACGCAAAGCGTGAAAGATTGAAAGCGTGGCGTGATCGATAGATGAGTGGGTGGGATACGCAAATTATAATAAGTTATCCTCAGGAGATGTTTTCGTAATGCCCAATGAAACACAAGTCTACTCGCAAATACAAACGTTACGTTATCCATAAATGCACATGGTTTTTGAGACATGCGCTAACGCAGACAACTTTGTTTACATTCCGTAAGTCTGTAACGTATAAAATTCGATGTTACTCCAACTCGACAGCCAGATATCGCTTTTCCGTAGACGTGGCACGAAAAAAAACACCAAGTCAATTTCCAAGAAAGTGCAGAGTAGGATAAATACAAACTCCAAAGAAAAATGCTGAAAAATTCGTTGACAAATGAAGAACTTGTTTGAGACTGAAACTAGTCACCAGTGAACTCTAATAAGACTAGAACGATAACTCGGCCGCCCTCTTTAAAGCCAAATTGAAGGCCGGCATTGGAGGTACGGAGGCGAAAATACACCTCTTCGAAAAACTCGGATTTCTGCCTTTCTAGCTATGCTAGAACATAGATAAAAAGCTTAAAAACATCTACGATACTTGGACTATTGCACAAATTATGTTTGGAAGCCGTAGAAAAGAGTTAACGTTATTTTTTGTGTACCTGAAAGTCGTATTTTGTTCGGCACGGAAAGTATTTTGTTATTTTCTTGAATACAAAAATGGTTTCTTTCGAGATTTTGCTGTTAGTGGATGTAGAATACTTAGAACTATCCAGAAAACCAAGTTTGAATCTTTGAAATTGAAATCTTTGTACGAAAAACCTAATTTTTCGGCGTATTTTTGCTAAAAAAACAAAATTATGAGGAAATTGAAGTCTCCCCAGTTCTTTTTTGAAAGTCACAGGGCTGCCTCCTCCGCAGGCCCTCGTTGCGTCATGGGAAGGTCACGTTCTGGCGAGGGCCTGCGGAATCTTGTAAAAAAAATGGCGCCGGCGTCACGTCAGCAAGTAAATTTCTACATAATATTGAATATAAACAGATATAAAAAAGCGGCGTGAAACTTGTAAATTAAACTGGCGACTCTTAGGACGTGGAAAGAAACATTTTTTAACAATAAGGTTTGTTGTCCACACCAACGTTGCACGAATAAAACTGCCTTCTTTAACGAAGCAGGTTCAAAACAACATTTATTCATTTTACAAGATTCCGCAGGCCCTCTCGAAATCGTGGCCTTCCCATGACACAACGAGGGCCTGCGGAGGAGGCAGGTCACAGGGCGCGAACTTCTCCCGGGCGCCAAATCACAAATCGCAAGTCAAGGGGGATTTCTACGGAAAAATCGATTTATTCACGTTTTAGAGAAGTCAAAAGCACTAAAAATAAACAACTATGCCTAAACGTTAATACAAAAAAGGTATTGGTCCGTAGACCTATGTTTTAAAGTTGTTTTTTTTAGTTAAAGAGCAAAGTTCACTTCGGCACGTTCAACTAGTGTCGTTTTTATGAAAACAAACCTGATACCCTTCAAACTTTTGCTGTTGTAGGATGCAAAGCAGTTCTAACTATCAAATAAATTGCATTTGGGTTTTTAATATTGAAGTCTTTTGATAAAAAACGACTTTTCTTGCTCATTTTCGTCGAAAATATAAAACTTTGACTGAATTCCCACTCCTCGAAACTCTCCTTAGTCCTTTTAAAAGTGCAATTTCCTTGCTCCGTTGGCTTCAGGCAAGTATGGGCATGTTTACCTGAGTTATCGTTCCAGTCTTATTAGAGTTCACTGCTAGTCACTCACTGATAGCCGCCATCTTGAAAACTGATCTGTATAGTAAACTGGAACAGTGGAAACTGAGCCTGCGATAACGCAAACTCGATTTCTCCATGACGAAAAAACCCAGAAAAAAACAGAGAATTGGGGATTTAAGACATTTGCCTTACAGGTCAGTGCAATAACTTGACCAAAAAATAGGTCTTGTGAAGGTAGATCCCAGACTCCGGCGCGTTTAAATTCATTATGGTGACCAACGTGAAATCTCAAAATTTAGTCCGCTTTTGGCTGAAAGTAATTACTGTGTCTGTTTTACCACTGCAACACTATTTCTTGACTATATACAGCTCATTGGTTACCCAGTAGAAAAGTTAGGCTCGCACAGCATGCTATATTGTAGAAACTTTAGAAATGTTGTTCCAGATGCTTGCGGAGGAGGTTAATATACTAATGCATTTTTTTTCAAGGCTAAAAATAAATAGTGATGGCTCACAGTAGACTAAGTGATCCAGAATATAGAAACTGGGTTACTGTTGGTCGAGCAATTCAGATTGCCCGGAACGGCTTAGAAACCATAATTCAAAATGCTGCCGACAAGTACCACACATCACTGCTTGCAACTTTGCCAAATAATGTACATGTGTGGAAATCTCACCTGTTGAAAGCCCATCGATCAACTGTTAAAAGAAAAATATCCTGGAGCAACAGTGACAACACTCAGTGGTTGACCGTTGGTGCCTCATGGGAGATTACTAAGATTTTCATGGCTCCCTTAGGAACGAGAAAGCTTGATGTAGTCAACGCCAAAACTACTGATATATCGGGAATGTTGAATGTATTAGAATGGTCTCCGAGAGGGACAAATGGTATGTTCAATACAGGTGTCGGTCTCTCGAAAATAGCAGATGCAAGAAGTGCTAGGAATCTTTGGGCGCATGCACCGTTGCTGCATATAAGTGATGCTGACAAAGTCGACGCGTTTGCATCTTTAACCTCGCTTCTTCAAGACCCGGAACTGAACGGAGACAAAGATGTCCAAGACGCCATGAAAGAGCTTAGTAGTTTACTCAATACTGGTCTAGCGGTTATTGAAGAGAAAGAAGTGGAATTGTTCCTTCAGTTAGAACGTCAACTTGGTCGGGATATGGTCAGTTTGGAAAGGGATATGAGCTGTTGGAAAGGTGAAGTCGGAGCGGACTTGGAGCAGATTAAAGATCAGATGAAAGGTTTGAATGAATTTGTAAAGAAAAACGATCTACACGACGCTCTGAAAATTTTCAACAGCCGGCTGGAAAAGTTAGAAGAAAAACGTTCAGAAGAATCACAGCAAAGTTTTCGCGACGTGAAGCAGGAGCTAAAGTTCAACCCAGTCTCTGATCGGATGAAGGAAGAATTTGTTGGTCGTGAGTGGTTGTTCAGTGACATTCACAACTGGTTAGAAAAAGATCTCGGGCCTCGGGAGTCTCGTGCCTTCCTTATCTGGGGTGGTGCTGGAACAGGCAAAAGCTCGTTCGCCCAAGAATTTGTCCGTCGCCACGAGGGAGAAAAATTGGTTGGATACCATTACTGTCAAAAAGATAACCCTCGCACTTGCGATTTGAAATCGTTAGTCTACAGTCTCAGCAGTATGCTCTCGAACAGCCTTCCCGAATATGCTGCCTTGGTTGAGAAACTACAGACTGATCAATTTAGAGATGATCCTAACACACTGTTCGATTTGTTAATTACCACGCCATTGCAGCAATTGAATGAAAGTACCAGACATTTTCTTATCATCGATGGCTTGGATGAAGGAGGGTCCATGATTGCTTCTTGCCTTGCCAGATTATCAGGAACACTTCCTTCGTGGCTTCGCGTCATTTTGACTGCAAGACCCCATGCTCTCGCTCTATCTGGCCTTTTTTTAAATTACTCCTCTGCTAATCTAGACCCCTTAGAGACTAGTCTCGAGTCCCTGTCTAGCAAAGATATTCGTGAATTTGTCTCCATGAAGTACAGAAAACTTCAAACTGAATATAAATGTATTCCTTCTTTCTTTGCTAATGACGAGCAGGTAGGCAAAGAGAAAATAGTTCAGGCTAGTCAGAATTGCTTTCTTTATGCTAAACTTGGGATGGAACACATCTTTGATGGCCATGATGAAATTGGTTTGCCTGCCTCGTTATCTGAGATTTACTGCTTGGATTTCAAACGTCGCTTTCCGGATATAGAATTCTTTGAGAAAAAAGTTGCACCTGTGCTTCAGATTGTGCTTGCCATCCAATCTGCTAAGGCTTTTATAGATAAAGAGATACCTATAAAAGGTGAGTTAGATTTCGCACTTTCCCATGCTTCTATTCTTTATGATCGAATAATTCGCTTACAGAAGATGCAGCAGGCTTATGAGGAGAGCGATGAAAGTGTTACAGGGGTTGTGAAGTGTGGTTTGTTGCCTGAAATTAAGATGCATGATCTCAATAAAGTCGTCAAACCTTTATCAGGTTACTTAGTAAAGGATGATTCTGGTAGATATTATTTCAGCCATAGTTCTGTAAGAGATTGGTTGCAAGACGAAGAGTCAGATTTCTTTTGCGATGTACTCAACGGGCACTCCATTATGGCAAACTATAACTTGAAAACTCTTAAAGTTAAGTATCCTTCACCCGGCGATTTTTTTGAAAATGTATGTTTTCGTCCGAAACTGCCATATCCTACTGCTCTTCTAGACCTCAAATTCTTTTCTTTGCGTTATCTCTTTCATTCCAGTGAGAGCGGGAGTTCAAACGTGAATGTTCTGATATCTGAATTAGGTATTAAAGCAATCGACCTTCTTCATGCCGCATTTCACAATAGTGATGACGATTGGAATCCTTACATTTGTTCCGAGTATATGGCAATGAAAGTTCTCGATGAAACAGATGTCTTGAATAAAATGACCATACAGGAAAAAGCCGAACATCTTGAGCGGGCTCTTGTGTTGCATTATGCAAGAATTACTGCCAAGTTGTTTGATAGCACATACTGGATTTTTAGTAAAGACGCCATCATTCCTTGACCTGTGACATCAAACTACTACAGCTCGTCCCAAAGGAATCAATGCCCCAGTTATTCTTTTCGTCCCTCGTGGATATTTTCTTTCGCGATAAGATATTTGAATTTTGTGTAAAAAATGGATTAACGGCGGATGTATGTGTTCCTCAATTCTTTGAGAACACCAAGGGCTTTGACTCGTCCATCTGCTGGAACGAAGATGTCCAAGAGTATTTTAGAAAATTGAAGTCAGGAGAAGAGAATGTTATCACTTTGGAGTCCCTTAAAGAGAAGCCATTTTATCCAGAAGAAGCTAAAGTGTCGGAATTTACATTGGAGATCATTCAGAAACCTCTTTCAGGTATTTATTACAAATATTCTTGTAAATCTGCAGCTGTGCAGGTGTGCATGGTGAAAAAATTATTCTTTAATATAAAGTTGATTAAACATATTCTTAAAAATAGCTTTGGAAAAAACCTAGTTTGTTATATATGAAAGCAATACAGCTCATCGTATAGCCAGGGCCGCCGAGAGCTTGGCGGGGGCACGGGGCAAAAAATTTTTTAGGGGCCCCAATTGCAAAAAAATTTTCCGCAAAAAAATTTTTCCGACAATAATTTCTTTTTAGGTGCGTTATAATTGCTTTCGTTGGACTTTTCCGCAATTTTCCATACCAAACTTCGGTTCATTGCCCCCTAAACACAAATATTTTGGCCCGAAAACAGAAATATTTCGCCCGAAAAAATTACTGGGGCCCATTAAATTTCTAACATTAAATTTCTAGGGGCCCCCAGAGCCTCGGGGCCCGGGGCAATTTGCCACCCCCCCCTCTCGGCGGCCCTGCGTATAGCTGTGTTCTGTGACCAAAAAATTTGCTTAGAAAACGAAGTTTGTCGCCTCCCTTCGGGCACTACTTTAAAATTACAGAAATCTATAGATTCTGATATGCCTGGCACGAATTTATTCATGCAAACCTGCAGTTTCTTTGTATTTTACGACCAAACATCATCATTTTCTATTAAAATTAGCAATATTTTTTTTTGAAACTTCATGTTATACACAGTTATTGTACCAGTTCGAAGGCGGGGGAGAGAGGTGGGGGGTATCACGCGGTTCATCTCAATATGAAATTGCAAAGATTCTTTAATCAAGAATTTTACAGATTCTAAACTTGTGTTGCTCAATTTTTTATCAACAACGAACAAGGAGCGCACGATATTCGATAGATCTTCAGGACCCAGATGTATTTTATTTAACACAAATTGACCATTGGCAGCAGTTCTTTCAAAAACTAGCTCATGCATGAAATCTGAACTTTTTCCTGTGGGGCATTAAGTGCTATGAGCATTAAGTGCTATCATACGTTTAAATTTGTTCGCGCTAAATCTTTCTATACACTTTTTTTAGATCTAACCGGGAGCAGCTGCGAAAAATGGAAGTAATAGGCCCTTTGGCTTCGATTCCGGTATAATGCTCTAACGAGCTGTGCTACAGAGACCAATTGCTAACCCTTAACCACAGATTTATGTATATATATAATCGAACTTGCCAGAGAGCATTAAGTTGCATTTTTTGCAACTGCTCCTGGTTGTTAGGTCTAAAAAAGTGTATAGAAATTTAGGTTCGAAAATTCAATCTAAAAAACCATTCACTATTAGTTGTATCGAACGAGATTCCCAAAATGTCGATATAAGAATCTTTATCAATCTACTCTTTGCAATTTCATATATAATTCAACAATAAACCCAAAAGCTCATGCAATATATCTCACGCCACCGCTCTGCGAGATAAGTCCACATAACAGCGACTTTTTCTAATTTTTTGACGAATGATGTTAAATTTGCTTTGTAAATGGTTAGCTTATTCTAAAAAATTGCTTTTCACATTGTTTTAATTGTCTGCATTGGTTAATGAGAATTAGATGCCACCCAAAAATGGCGGATATTCGTCATCGTGAGAAAGGCTAATTCTTGACGATTTCCTGCATATAACCGCGTGATAAGAAACTGGAACTAGTGCGATAATGTTAATAGAAAATGTTGATCTTTCATCGTAAAATACAAAGAAATGGCAGGTTTCTACGAGTGACAACAAGTTAATTCATACTCAGCATTCAAAAATCTATAGATTCGTGTGGATTTAAAGTTGCGCCCGAAGGGGAGGGGGTGTGGAGCAGAACTGAAACCAAATCACAGAATACGGCCTATTATACGTACATCTCTATAATGGATGGTTTAATTTTTCCTGTTACCATCCCCCAAATGGACACCGACGGAATTTTTTTTGAGCATCTGGTCCAGGGGGCGCCCGTGAAGGTAGCGATTAGGAATACACATGTTCACAGGCAAGGGGCTTTGGGACTCGTAGAAAAATGCAAAACATGGGCACACTTGCACTCAAATTGTTTCTTCTTCCATATTTAAACATTCCTGTGGATCAGAGATTGCGTTAGAAATTGTATTTAACACTGTACTAACATCGCCTTTAATATAGCCTTAGTGAACACGTTCTATCCGTTAGTGAATGCCTTTCAAATGTCGACATTCGTGAAATTTTGATAACGTGTTCGTGTCCAATATTGCCCATGGGAGGGGAATTGGCTTTTCTTTATTTTCCCAGGGTTTAGGAATAAAGTATACATAAATCCGGGGGGGACAGGAAGAATCGAACCATGCATGATGCAGACAATTCTCTGCTGCGTACGCCTTTCTAAACGGGCACCTCCTTAATATCAACGCCTTTCTAATAATGCGGACATCTTTCCAATGTATCGCCGTCCACATTAATCCGTTTTCTGGATGCCTTCATCAATGAAAACGGAGCTTTTCGAAAACGGCTTTGAAAGTAGGTGAAGACAACGCGGGCGTATACATTGGATTAGTGAGGAAGGGCGAAAACGAAGGTTTTCAAAAACGCGGACGGCATGAACACAATCATTCGTAGTATTCAAATGAATTGCTTGTCTTGCACTGGATATAATGATGATTAATCTGCAAGCATAACTTACAAAGACAATGAAATGCTCTACACTATGTCCTAGGTTATCATTTTATTTATTTCTGAGATTGTAAAGCCACTATAGAAGCTCTATTATCGGCGACGTTTTTGGGTCCAACCTCGGTAAATTTGTCTCTTTCTCCGTAAAAATGTTGCATGAATAACGGTAAAATGAATGAAGATCGAAAATAATAAAATATTATCGTTTTCTAAGTGCTAGTGTGGTAAAAAACGATCCAAAAGCGCTACTGTGGACGCAGATATTTGTATGCGTTTTCGAAATATCAAAAACGAAGGGATTCGAAAACGGATTAGTCTAATAGTGTGGACGTAGCCTACCTTCCCAATACGGATACCTCTCTAATATGAATACCTCCCTAATAGAGATACCTCGCTCATACAGACACCTCTCTGATAGTGTTAATGTGTATTCTTTGCAAGGTACAGTATGTAGTTTCACTATAGTTGGCCGTATATATGTATATATAATTATGCTTTATTCTTATTCAGAAATTGAACGCCTTCTGAGAGATGGAATGATTTATGTGGAGTTCAAGTATGCCTGGCACTCGCTTTTACCAAGATGGCTTCGGTTTCACAAAGATAAAGATCTACAAAGGGTAGAAGACTGTTTAAAACACGGAGCAAACCCAAGCAACAGAGGAGGTGCGGGGGTAACTGCCCTAATGCTAACGTGTAAGAAACTAAATTATCTTTTTGAGGATTCACCTGCGGCGGAACAGGTGATGTCGTTACTGTTGGATCACGGAGCTGAAGTGAATCAACAGGATTTTTATGGACGTACTGCGCTTCATTATGCATTTGAATTCAGATATGACACTGAAGAAAGGCTTGCTCGAAAACAACGTGCTATTGAAATCCTTATTCAGCACAATGCAGACATTTATCTAAAAGATTCGTCTGGGCTTTCCGCCTTTGATATGGCTAAGCGTGAGGGACACGAATCTTGGTTAAGAACCGATGAAGCATCATTGACAGTCCGAACATGCTCAAAGAAAGGAAAAACATCCTGTTCCATACGTTAACCATGAACGCGATAAGCCTGCGCTAATCTGAACTAGTCCCTTATTCAAGAGAAAGCAAGAGTCGTACTACCCTGGAACCAGAGGGTATTTATTTTTGCCTGTTTTGAATAACCCTCTGGTGAAATTGGCTGGGTTTTTGGGGTCACATTCCACACATAACTTTCAAAATTGGAACCTAGAAGTTGATTGGTTGCTGACTATAGGTTCGATAGACTACGTGTTCTGATTGGATATTGTAAACATCATAGCCTGTTCGCAGGCGTTTCGTGTTTTTATTGAATTGAAACATTTGAATTTTGAAATGTCTATATTATTGAATAAACGAACAAAAGTTGAAAGAAGCAGTTTTATAGGCTGCATTAATAGATAGATTGATAAATTTCCTGAATTAAAAGTTTAACGGAGCATCAATACCGCGCCTTGTCCAATTTGATTCACATTAAAGATGTATTTGCATCTTGCTAACGGTTATGGGAAGAGTTTAATATTCCAAAGTTCTAACACCGAGAGTAGCACGACGACTTGGCAAAAGCCACAATTTTCTGGAGAAACCCATCTTAATAGTCATTTGCAAATTGAACTCTTTCATTGACTCTCACGTCCGTGAACTAAGAAAGCGTGGATGCCGTGTTACTTCACTGTCAAACGAAGAGGACGAGAAAGCAATACTAGATGGAGAGTTTGCGTCGCATTTTGTAATCCCGAGTCTATTATTCGAAATGCGAAATGAAGAGGAATGATTTCAATCGTTTTCATTTGAAAATCTACAAGACAAATTTGCTTGCTTTTGTATTAACAGACAAAGTTCACGTCGGCCCAAAGAGGTGTGTTTAATAAATTTAGAAAATACAGATTTTTTTAATGTATATTGCAGGATTAAATTGAATGTATATTGCAAGATTAAAGTGAATGAATATAAATATATATTTATATTAAATTGAATAGATGTGATGTTTTAAAATTGAATGAAATTTAGGAGAATGAATATTGCTACAAATGGGCAGGCATACACTAGACAGTAAACATGCGATAAAACCCTGTCTAGACGGGCATGTACTAAAAGGCGAAACGTCGAAACGAAACGACCGAAACGAAACGGCCGAAACCATCGAAACCACCGAAACGACCGAAACGAAACGACCGAAACGAAACAACCGAAACGAAACGACCGAAACGAAACAACCGAAACGAAACGGCCGAAACGAAACGGCCGAAAATATAAAACACAGGAAAATTGAAAAATGCGGATACGGACGGACGGACGGACGGACGGACGGGGGGGGACAGGCGGATGTACGGGGGAGACAGGCAGATGGACGGGGGAAGAGGCGGATGGACGGGTGGGGGACAGGTGGATGGACGGGGGAAGAGGCGGATGGACGGGGGGTGGACAGGCGGGTGGACGGGGGGGACGGCTTCATTTGATACGAAACTGATATTTAAAATCAAATCCGCGTTTTGTTGAAAGGGATATATTAGGATATATTATAAAAGACTATTATTAATCGTAATAAATTGTCCGCGAAAAGTTGATAAAATACATGTGGAAATGCGGGGTTTTTCGAACCTTCGTAACGCTTGATCGGATAAAACGCGGATATGCTGCAACTTTCATGCTTAATTTTCTGAGTCATCTGGGTATGTAGTAATCTAATTGTATGCAATGTAATGTGTTATATTTTCAAGGGCTTTTCAATGCAGTTATGGGTTTAAATATACCTAAAATTCCCGTTAAGATATGACAATTGCCGTACGGCCTACTTTTACGCAAACGAAAATTAGCTACAATTGCCACTTTCATGCTTAATTTTCTCTGTTATCCGGGCATGTAGTAATGTAATTTTATGCCAATGTAATGTGCTAATGAAATTTGCAGTTGTAATTTGCGTTTGCGTAACGTACGGCAATTGTCATATCTTAACGGGAATTTGAGTTATATTTAAACCGATAACTGCAATGAAAAGTCCTTGAAAAAAAGGCACATTACATTGCATAAAATTAGATTACTACATACCCAGATAACAGAGAAAATTAAGCATGAAATTTTTGCAATTGTAGCTAAATTAAATTTTCGTTTGCGTAAAAGTAGGCCGTACGGCAATTGTCATATCTTAACGGGAATTTTAGCTAGGTATATTTAAACCGATAACTGCACTGAAAAGCCCTTGAAAATATAGCACATTACATTGCATAAAATTAGATTACTACATACCCAGATGACTGAGAAAATTAAGCATGAAAGTTGCAGCGTATCCGCGTTTTATCCTTATATCAAGCGTTACGAAGGTTCGAAAAACCCCGCATTTCCACATGTATTTTATCAACTTTTCGCGGACAATTTATTACGATTAATAATAGTCTTTTATAATATATCCTAATATATCCCTTTCAACAAAACGCGGATTTGATTTTAAATATCAGTTTCGTGTCAAATGAAGCCGTCCCTCCCGTCCACCCGCCTGTCCCCCCCCCCGTCCATCCGCCTCTTCCCCCGTCCATCCGCCCGTCTCCCCCGTCCATCCGCCTGTCCTCTCCGTCCGTCCGTCCGTCCGTCCGTATCCGCATTTTTCAATTTTCCTGTGTTTTATATTTTCGGCCGTTTCGTTTCGGCCGTTTCGTTTCGGTTGTTTCGTTTCGGTCGTTTCGTTTCGGTTGTTTCGTTTCGGTCGTTTCGTTTCGGTCGTTTCGTTTCGGTCGTTTCGTTTCGGTCGTTTCGGTGGTTTCGATGGTTTCGGCCGTTTCGTTTCGGTCGTTTCGTTTCGACGTTTCGCCTTTTAGTACATGCCGTCTCCAAAGACAGTAAATGTACAGACAACATGAAACTTTAGACTGCAGAAAAGTCAGTAAATTTCACAAGCCGAACGTTGTCAAACTATCAAACATTCACAAGCCGAACGTTATCAAACGTATCACAGAAGTGGTAAAGGACTTGTGTCATGTGTGACAACTGAATGACATCTTTTTGTAACGTTTTTGGCCAGGGGTGGGTATTTATTTTTTAAATGATACTTGAGGTTGGGTAATCAATTTTTTGATTTTTTAATGGTTGGGTCAGCAAAATTTTTGCCACGAAAAACATTTCTCTTCGGTGCCACCCCCCACCATAAATAATGACCGGTCCCTTATACGAGGGTCTTAATGGGGGTCTTTGGGTGTCAGTTGTCAGCTAAAATTTAAGCCAATTGTCAGTTGTCAGTGCGATATATTGCAAGCTGTCAGTAGTCAGTTACTGCAAAATGCTGACTTATAATTTTTTTCATCATTTCTCAGTAGTCAGTTAGGATATTTTGTCAGTTGTCAGTCAAAAATTCAGGCAAATGTCAGTAGTCAGTTAACCCCATTCAGACCCTCTTATACTGGATTTTCCTTTGATTGTATATGCCTCTTGTCAGTTTACTTTAATTTCGAGAATTTGAGCATACTAAATTATGTTTCGCAAATATTGTTTGCTTTATGTTCCGATACACAGGAAATGAAATGAGTTCAGCCGTCATAGGCGTACGGGCGGGAAGAAATTTACCCGATCGACTTTTACCCACTGAATAAAATTTTCCGTGTAACTAAATTTCCAAAATTTTCGTTGGGAAGTAGACAAAAATATTTTCCTATTTGTCGATTCCTCGTTACTTTTACATATTTCTGGTATTTTCAAATACCATATTGCATGTACTGTGTCTTCTTTTTAAATTTATTTCCCCCAATTTTTGCCCGAATTTATACGTTTATAATTTGCATGACTTAATTTATTTTGACTGAGGGGCGGGGCTGCCTCCCCCCCCCCTCGCCCGTACGGCTATAATCAGCCGTTGTTACGGATCGGTTATATATTGTGTTAAAAGTATTTTGACTTTGTTGTTTCCGATGACATTTGCCGACTCTCGACTTATTACTCTCGACCGACTCTCGACTTTTTACTCTCGACTCTCGACTTTTTTACTCTCGACTCTCGACTTT